TCAAAACGGGAGACAAGGAATTAACTCGATATGGAGACTGTCAAGGCAGGACACAGACTTTTCTCTTCCACTTCGGACTGTCTCTCATGAGAAGCTCACCTGAAGCACCACAGCTTGACAGGAAAGAGCAAAACGGCTTTCCAAAATAAAGTCAAATTTAAACGTTTCATGACATTTAAATTAATTTCAAACTACTATTATTATTATATTATAGTTAGCATCAATGTGCAAATACAGGCTATATATTCCATGCTTTACATTGTATAAAAATTGCTGTTATGGTTGGACTTTTATGTTGAAGGGGATGTTCTTGGCCGGTTTTGAGGAAAGTTATGGTTCGGTTGTTTAGAAAGAGAAAACGAGCTAGTTTGAACGAAGATTGTTAACGTTGTTTGTCCTGGAGTTGAGGTGTGGGTTGCGACCAACAGTAACCCGGAATAAAGATCTAAAACAGAAAGAACAAGTTGGAATCACTACAATATCTTAAAAAAAATCAACAAAAATGTATAGCTGTGGCGGCTTTTATTTTGCCGAGGCTGTGCGACACAATCAATTAGTGTAGACTTTTATTTTGCCAAACGTATCTGTAATGAACTAGAGGACCTGCGATGACACCAAACACAGTAAGACGTTTTAACAGTCTTTATTAGCCTGAAGCTAATAGGAGGAGTTACCGGAGTAAACTCAGGTACGGGCAGAGTCGAAGGCAGACGTGGGTCGAAGCCAGGTCGAGACGAAACAGACACAAGGAGCAGGCTACAGATGTGGTCGAGGACAGGCGAGGGTTGTGGTGGCATGCAGAGTCCTTGGCAAGGGTCAGGCATGGAAACGAGGTCAGGAGCATGGGCGGCGTTAGGCCCAGCTACTTGGGCTGAAGCCCCGGATGTTTCATGGAAATCCCCGGATCTAAATCGCGGAAGTAACATGCAGTACTGAAGTCCAACAGAGAGGGAGCAGCTGGCAGTAGTTTGTATACAGCCTGCCTGAGCCTCCACCACTGAAGAAGAAGCCCTTCAGCAGCCGGCTTCTTCTACACTCTCTGCCTGAAACGCATGAGTGAAGATGGACATAAGGACGTTTTTTTAGACAAAAAGTACCGCGACAGAACCCCAGCTCTGATGAGACTGGTGCTGACTCAGGTTTGTGAGTCTTATTTGAAAATATTTGTTGTGCTGCTGGTTTGCCTAAAGTTAGCTTATCAGGTAACGTTGTTGGAGAAAAAGGGAATATTTGCTATCATCTCACACTAAACACTAACAGGAACAATACTCTGCCCTGAATATGCTTAATATGTAGCTTCAGATTAAAAATTATGTGGTTCAAGACATATATGATGTTGACTAGTGCGTGTCACGTGTGTGTGTGTGTGCGTGCGCATGCGTGTGTTAAGCCCCGGATGTTCTTCAGTCCTTAATCCGCCCCTGGTCAGGAGGCTATGATGAGGCAGGATGTAAAAAGGCTGGAAGATTTACTAGCAGGAGCGTTCAATAATCTTGCAGAGTGCTGGTGGTTGACTGTGGAATATATAGCTGGTGAGGCAGGTGTGTGGTATGAGCTTGATGGTGAGTTGACGGCGGTTGCTGGGGAAACAGGGCTTGGCTGGAGCTTGATGAGGGGACTAGGTGTGATACATGAAGGCTGATGAGGTGAATGATGGTGCATGGAGGTCAGGGCATGGCAGGATCATGACAGTAGCAGGGAAATAACGTATTTTGAAGCCCATTCTGATTGGTTAGTGAAAAGCTACAGTAACCCCCCTTAAGGCGTTTCTGTAGCCCAAGCAGAAATGCCCCGTGGCCGGCTGGACCATGCTCTCCCACTTGGCCAGGACATGAATATGCTAATGAGCTGCTTGCTGATTGGTTGATTTAAACCAGAAGGCCTCAGACATAGATTCTGCAGATTAAAGGAGGAGGGGCTCTACATTATGACGTTTTAATGAGGTTTCTCAGAAAACAAGTTTTTCTCTGGCATTTAAATGTTCTAATTTACATAAAAAGTAGGTCACACACGGCTTTCACTTTTTGGCATGCTACTTTTGACCACACAAGCTGTCTTAATTCACATACAAGTCGTTGAAGTTTAGAAAAGTCCCATTTCCTCTGACGGCATCAAGTCTCGTTTTTCTTCAACTTTCTTTGGTTAAAATAAGAATAAAGAATCCATTAGGCACATTGTGGCTGTATGTTAGAGGAAGGTGACAATCATCAATCACAGAGATGAGAGAGGCACCAAACAAGAACGTCTGTGGGTCAATCTATCCGTAAAGAATTAAAGAACAACTAGATGTATCTCAATAATGCCGTGTTGGATCTACAACTCAACTTCCCACTCAAGAATCCATTTCTCCAAAGAATGCTCAACTTTTAATTACACAGTCTAATGTTTGTTGCGTTTTTGATGGGCAGCTACCGTTTTGCGTCTCACGCTGTCAAGAGAAAAACTGTACAAAAATGTCAAACTGTTCAGAGGAAAACAACAGCAACATGCACCGTCCATGGGCTGACAGGCTGCTATTACGCTGTGCTGAAGTTCTGAGTTTGCCAAAAATAGTCAAACGTGGATGATGGATTAAAAAAAAACAGACATCGAGGAGCCGTTTAGCGAGGGGAGGCGATAAGATTTGCAAACATCGTGCGTGTAATAAGTGGCAGCAAACAGATGGACATTAGCAGCTGCAGCCATCTATCAGCTTTGATGCAACAAATACTGTCTTTGCAATGGGATCTGTAAAGAGAACGAGTGTGGGTTGGTTTCCATGGTGAACAGGGCTAATCAGCCATTTCTCATCTTACTGAGTGACACAAAGCTCCGAACACCCCCCCCCCACACACACACACACACACACACCCCACCCCCAAATGCCGGGTGGGAAGCATTAACTGGAATGGCAACTTCCCTCTTTACCTTGACCCTGCAGGCAAACCTAAAGCACTAAACACCTCTCATGAGATTCAGAAATAAGATAATTACCACCTCGCCTTAATTCGCCATTTCAACACGACATCCGACTGAGCAGAACGGTGTAATCGTCCTTGTCTGGCTTGTGAGATTGTTAGTACTCTGACAGAAAAGAGACAGCAGGCCTCCTTCATTTGCCTCGCGATGAAACTCATTCTCAGAATATACAGCGAGGTAATTGAGCGATGAATTCCTTTTTGCACCAGTACCACTCAATGACACTGATTCTGTGGTAGTAATATATTATCTCCCCCTTTGAGGTAATTTATCCTCAGAATGACATCCAGTAGAAAATGAACATCTCCCTTTTTATCAGACCTGAAATCAACCAAACTTTCCAGTTTTAACTCAAACTGCGTCGAGGAGTCTTCGAAAAAAAAAAAAAGAATAGAGTCTGCTGTGTCCATCGCTGCTTCTCATTATGTTAAGTCACGTCTCCTGAGTTTGACTTGTGATTGCTGCGATTCCCTAAAGAGGAGAAATAAATGAGTTTCCCATCAAGTAATGCGATCGGCCGTGGTTAAACCTGTTTCTCCAAAAATATGATTATCTCTGCAATTATTGAGAAACCTCTACATTGGATTATTCTGCTGGAGGAAAACACATTTATGTGTGATAATTGAAGTCTGACGGAAGGAAAACAGCCAGAATATTAAAAGAAAAGGAGTTCAGGAGGATTTTTATGTAAGTTTAAATGACACAAATTTCACCGCCATGATTTGCTTTTATTTTCTGATTCAAGATGGAAGATCATGTAAGTTAAAAGCAAACTCTTTCAAAACATCTCAAACTTTCCACCATCTGCTTCCTGAACCCTCCAAAAGAAAGTGTTTTCTGTAAAGATCATGATAAAAATGTGGTTTTTATCATATATAGTGTAAACTCTAGATGTGGAACATGATGCTGCTGTTCTGTCTGGGGTTTGAAGAGGTACTCACATGTGTAAAAAACCTGTTCTCCTTGCAGATGAGCTGGACAGATACTAGTATCTGTGTGCAATAGGATGTGAATCTCTACATTTGTCCTGCGAGTGTGCAGCCAGAACTGCAGCAGTCAGTTGCTGCAACGAGTTCTGATCGTCTCAGCTGAATCCAGAATATTGGGAGGCTACGCTGATGCTTCAAGTTCCTGAACAGACATCCGTGTTTAGAACGGTCATTTGGTATTGGTTTACCACACCATGGTTTAATTCCTGCTTCTTTCATCATACGTGATATTTCAGTTGTGCACATACAAGGTTTTCATGTAGTTTGTATCCATATGCAAAGTTTGAAAGACCAAGTTTGTTCTTTTTTTTTGACACATTTGCGATGGTCTCTAGTTTTAACAAATAACACAAGCCTGAAAAAGTTCTGCTGTGTGGAGGAGTTGCTAATGCTAACAGTTAGCTTCTACTAGTCGAGATGTTGTCTGCTGTTTCCTGAATGCTAAACCAACAGCCAGACATGAAAATGGGTCAAGGGTGAAAAAGGTGAAGAGGCTTGCCAGGCTAGGGTCACGCATTACCGGTTCACTCGTATTTACTAATGAATTTATTAATTGGTAGAGTTGGGGGCGTCTTAACATACTCTGTAATATTTCGCCCCAGTGTTTAATAGTGAAACTGATTTATCTGTGAAACCATCGCTGTCAAACCATTGGAAGCCATTTTTGCCGAGGTGAGGGACTTTCATGTGTGAACAACAGCCTTCCCTGTAGCGAGCAAAGATGGGTGATTCCATGAACATTAGTATACAATGTGACGTAGATCTGTCAGGCTTTTCTAATCTGAGCATCTTCTATCAGGAGCTAACGCAGAAGATTAAGGTAGAAGACAATTTTAATGTATAACCTGCATGTTAAACTCAGAGTAACCGATTATAATTAAAAAATAAACAAATTCTCAGTGGACTTGGTCCGTACCCTTTATGAAGAGTGTACATTTAACAGGACTTCACCCAGTGTTTCAATTTTACAAGCAATGATTTTTATTTCATTTGAACTCGAAACACATTTTGAACTGAAACTCTAAATTAGAAAAGACAGCAGTCAGCCAGAAACAAGGAGGGGATCATCTTTATTTCAATCTTTCAAAACTTGTACTAAACATGACAATCATACTTCAAACCTAAAGAAAATGTTTGGCAGAGATTTAGGCAACTACAGACTAGAAGGCAAGGTGAGGAAAGCATTTTCACAGTAGAATGTACAGATAACGGACCCCCCCACCCACCCCTTCTGAAACACTGAAGCCATTTCTAGGCTGAAAGTAGAAAGTGTTGTGCTCGTCCAACTACAGGTGAGAAAAGGATGCAGAATTTCTTAAATATTCAATATTTAATGAGAATGTTTGTGCTGAAAAAAGCAAGTTTTCTTTATTTGAAAACAAATGAAAAGCAAATCATATTTTTGAGTCTAAAAGCTGGTTTGTCAGGGTCAGAATTTAAAAGAAAATGGAGCCTGTTGGATTTGATCTAGTATGTATCTTTAGTCATAAAGACAACAAAGAGGGTATGTAGATAATCTTACGACTAGCCGACACAAACGGGGATGTAACAAAAAACTTCTTCCATATTTAAGCACCGTGTGCGTCTCACCGCACTTGGATGCAGCTCCAACCTGCCAGGGGAAATTCTTTAAAGTAACCGGTGACGGAGGACAAAACGAAACATGCAGACAGACAGCTCCTGTCTAACTGACGGCTAAAACGCAGTTAGGAGCTGCTGATGCAAGTTATGGCTTCTGCTTGACAGGTAGAACCCATCTACACGAGACAATTTCACTGGCATGGGCAATTTCTAGAGGGGACAGGAGGCAAAAATGGGAGAAAAACATAAAAAAAAATCTGACATTTTTGTATAGAGTAACACAAATTTCATTTCCAGCTCTTTTTATCACCTTTCAGGAAAAATTGACAGGAAAACAACACAAATTGCAGGACTTGTCTCGGCACTTCAGCACTCCTTAAAGAACAAGAAGAAATGTTTTCAGGCAAACACGATAGAAAAAAAGCTTTGTATTTATGGCGGATCTTCCTTCTCGGGCACTTCCTTTTGTACACGTAAGCTTCAATCATTGGAACGAAGTAAACTAAATATTTAAATAATTTTATTTGATTTTTAAAGGGAAAGTGTTTCTCCTATTGAGGGTGACGGAAGAATAAAAGCTTTGGGTTGCAAGAAAAAGTTTATATCAGGGACCTGTTTGGGTTTTTAAAACTAATAATGTAACATTAAATAAAGCGTAGCACATCATGTGATTTCATATCAATAACTGTAAGAAGGTGTGTTCACAGCCATCCCTGCTTCTGGTGATTATTGTTTACACTCCATTATTGAAAAGGCTGTTGTTTTGGATTCAGGAGCTCCATCGAGCAGCCGCTCTCGCACATCAATACTCGGAACTGTAGGGTAGAAAAACAGTTTGTGCTGAAGAGGCTTGGAGCGAGAAGGGAGATGGAAAACAAAGAAGCAGAACAGCATCACACAGATAAGTCTGAGTTTCATGTCACTGCGTTCCAATGGGCCAATCATCTTCTGCGCCTGTGTTAATCAGTTTTCTTCTCTTCAGGAGCTTTTTCTCCTACGTCCTCCTCCTCCTCAGCGGGGCCTTCCAGCTCAGCAGCGCGTTGCCTTTCCTCCTCCTCCTCCTCTTCTTCCTCGTCAGTTAGCCCCTCCCTTTTGAGAGCATCCATGTCTTCGGAACCATCATCAGACTCGGCTGTGCAAATGCCGTAGCACATCAGGCTAATTACGCCGAGCGGCAGGCCGAACAGGAAGCAGCCCAGGAGAGGAGAGCTGCGGAAGACAGACTGATGGAGGAAAAGAAGGAGCACAAAAGAAAGGAGGGAGGAAATTTAGGGAAAAACAAACGACGATTTCATGGTTTCTTAAAAACAAATTGTTCTTCATGTTTGTGTACACCCATTAGTCATCTGCATACATGAATATTCCATTTTCAAGCAGTACTCTTTCTTGTCCTAATTAAGTCTAAATTAGTCAGACAAATTAAATAAAAACTGTCCAGCTGGGATCCAGATCTCACGCTGAATTCAATTTATAGCAAACAGTGTTTTTAATGACCTCTTTAATGATCATTTACACTTAAAAATCACAAATCTACCAGATAATTAGCAACAAGTGTCGCAATTTAAATGGGAATGTTGTCAGTAAACAAAGTAAAACAACTCAAAGACTTTGAATTTTTTTTTTTGATGCTGGCTTCAAAAGTCATTTAGTCCACACTGAAGCTGTCAGCTGATTTCCAACAACTGTTTAGAAACCGTAAAACCTATAAAGCAATGTGTATATGAAATATAAAGATTAAGCAGCCTAAATGTTTTTAACTGAGCCAACTGCAGTAACTAGGGTTCAAAACACAGAATAAACATGTAAATATGGCTAAAAGTGTCTGTTTTGCATTGGAAATTTTAGGTGAAAAAGGCTATTTGTGGCTTCCTTCCAGCTGTAAAGCTGCTCAATCTAACGAACAGCAATCCAAAGTTTTCAGTGAGGCCAATAACTATTTGTTTACCTGATTTTGGGGTTCTTGTGTCCTAGAATTCAAAGCTACATTTACCTTGCTGTTGTTGAATAAAGGCAGCTTGTCTGATGTAGCATACCAAAAAGCCTGCGCCATTTCCAGCCTGCCTTTCTATGAGAATTATTACTGTTGTAATGGTAACGGAGAAATGGTTGGGTCTGAGAAATGGTGGTTTAACACATCATAAGCTTAAACACACCACCTTAAATCTACCTGTCCCAACCATGGACAAATAGTAATCCTGGACATAGCACCACCCATTTGTCTCATTTCATCACATGTCTCGCCACGCCAAGACAATCCAAAAACGGTAAAAGGGGTGGAGCTGGGAGAGGGACTGTGAGCTTATGCTCCGCTCCTCCGCCACAGTCGAAGATCACCAGATTAGCTACATGCTAACCCAAAGCTAATGGAGGTTATTGGGCGCTTTTATCCAGAGAAACGTGGTTGAGCGACTCCAAAGTTAAGGAACATCAACTCAAAGAGCTGCAATGTTTCTGTAGTCTCCCTCGGAGAGCTCTACAGGCAACCAGCATGACTACAGCCATGCATGGAAGCCAGGCAGCCGAGCGGTTTGGCTTCCCCGGGAGACAGGGGCCTCCTGCGACTAGTAGCTGCTCCCGGCCAGGAAACTTGAAAAACCGGGTGCCTGCCTCACTGGGCTGCCTCCGGGAAAATGGAGTAGCAGATTTGCGGATCTCTGGTTGCAGGGCCAACACTGCTAAAGGGAGAAACATTACCAAACCTCCTTTCTGCAGCGGTGGATCTTTGACCAAGCGGTGTTATGTTAAACGCACAGCATTTTCCCCCATTCAATGATGTAAATAAAGTAGATATATAATTTTACTTACTGATAAATGATAGAGACTTCTTGGGTGATCTCTTACTATAATCAATGCCACAGCTTGCCCTCTTTGTCTAAATAATCCCATTACTACCATCCAAACATAAACGTAACACAAACATAAAGTTCGGAGAGTGGATGATCACTAACGCGAGGCCGAGGCCTTCCTCGGAGCTAGAGTTGAGTCTGGCCATTATCAGGGCTCCTGGTCCATTAGAAGCTCCAACCAACTTTTAGATGTTATATAGAGAGCAGTATAAAGCAATTTCCATTTGTAAAATAAAGTTGCTCTAGAACAAATTTAAAGGCATCAAAGCAATTCTCTTGTCCTTAATAGCAAACACCTCTGACCGTAAAGATCCTTGCCAGTTAGTGGAGGGAATGCTTTCACCTAAAACTGCCCCAGCTGTGTTGCTCCCATCAGAATAAATTAGATCCTTCACTTGAATGCCATCTACTTTTCACAGTCCAACATGGCAAACACCAACAATATAATCCCACAAATCTATAATTAGTGTTCTCGTGGCTTTGTCCATTATTATAACACGTCTGTGGCGACTCTAGAGACGGCTAAGGACAAGCTTGTCCACCACCATGAAGACCATGTAATGCTGAATCAGTACAAGAACAAAACGTCAGTTTGTATCTAATTATGTATCTACCACAACCAAGTGCTAACAGGAACACTAGTTAGTCTGAGCGCCTCTGGGAGACGGATAATAGAGCTGCCAAGCACAGTTTGACATGTGCTCCGTCCATGATAGGCACTTAAGGGACACAGGACACACATCAACAGAGTCCAGGAGAAAATAAAGGTCAATTAGGTCCCCACAGCTTAGTGTCCTCCTCTCCCAGTGGACCAATCAAGCTCTGCTCTTATTTCAGTCATAAAAAAACACACACACACCAATAATTTATCTGTTCCCTGTAGCTGAGCTGCTCTGGAGTGACTCATTGTTTAATAAAAGCATCACACCTCTCCAAACAGACAGTATTTACTGATCAAAACATTTCTGCTGAAAACTCAGACGGTTTTAAGCTTTTAAAGATAAATACTAAACGTTATTCATTTGAGATGTGCTCAGGAGGCGGGTCACAACTCACACAGGCTTTAATGTTTTAGTCACACTTAGATGTCGTGTCTTTTCAGCATGTTTGTAATATATTATACAATTCATGTTTCCTGCTTGTTTTGTTTGGTACTCGAGTTCAGAACGTTTAACCCTTTTGAACAAACAAGCAGTTGTCCAGCTTTTCACTTTAATTTCAACGGCGTTCATGAAAAATCCTCTTCCACCGTTTGCATTTTACAAACTAATGACACATCAGATAAAAGAAAAAAGTCTTTCACAATTTAGTGACCTTGTTTTAGTTGGCATTAGTGGCAGATAAACTGGAGAGTGCATCAACAAGCCGAGAAGAGAAAGGTTGGGAAAAACTGAACATTCCTGCTTCAGAATGGTGTTCCGAATCCCGCTGAGAACAGGAATGTTCTGATTTCAAACACAGAAAATCAAGTTTGATTTTTACTGTGAACAAAATAACTCATGAATAACTTCAAATACAGGTTTGAATCTGATCCAGAGACAGTCAGGAATATGATCAAAACATTAGGACCACAACAGTCCTCAGGGATCGTTTAGTGAACCAACTCATTAATGAAGCTCTTAGCTGCTTTTCATTCTCCTGAAGACTATTTTAAATACTTAAAGCCTGGGGACATTAAAATCCCTATAATAAAACTTCACTCCGTTTTGGCATCTCACATATTTATTTAGCTTTTATTTGTTCTGACCTAAAATGTGTTTTTGTTCCAATTCCACATAATTTTTAATTCAACAAAGAATGCCTCCTTCTCACAGAATAACAGTTGCAGCCTCAACATAGTTTTAATGCTTCCTTATTAATATTATAGAAAAACTCTGTTGTTAGCTATATTTATTTTTTGCAATTAATTGGATTAATAGAGATTATCTGCAGATCCAAAAACTTGGTGCTTCATTGCCTGTAACTGGATACAAGTGACTGCTGCTCTGTTTTCCTAGACGAACCGCTGCCAGATCAGGAGAATTACTGCGCTGGTTACAAAATGCTTTTGTTCTCACTTACCTAACTCTGGGGAATACGGAAAAATACAACATTTCACTTAGGGGTGGATTATCCCTTTAGGTAAAACAAAGACACGATGTTGGATAGTTCTACCGTGAAACAGAAGTATGACAAAGATGTCCGGTACAAACCTAAGAAGACTGCTGACTGAGCTATTCTAGCTAAGCAAGAGGACTTCAGACACGTTCTGCACATGCTTCCCTTTCTTATCAGTTCTTCCTAAAATGGACAATTCAGAGGGCAATATTAAGTTTGGCAAACTGTTAAGTATAAATGTGTAAAGTAAAAAAAAGCGTAACAGCACAGCTGTGTTTGCATTGCTCTCACTCCCTTTGCTAAAATAAACACCAGTTCTCCCAAAAGAATGAACTACTTGGAGCTAAACTGGGAGGAGAGTTAAGTTGAGCCTCCTGGCCCCTCCAACACCCTGCCCCCACCCCCACCCCCCCACCCACACAGATACTCTCCACTGCACGCCCATCCTTGTCCTCTAAATGCTGTATTTTTCTTCCTGACAGTGAGAGCATTCGTCTAGCAGGACTGCAGAAAGGATGCAAACACATGTAGTGAAGGTGAAGCGCAGCACAACAAAACACCATTACTCTTTATTAATGGCTTTAGTACAGAGGTCACAGACACGTTGAGGTCAAGTGGACTTAAACAAAAGGAACATTTTTGTTTTTATCCTAAGCTCACTTCAACAAGCTCCATTAAGCCAGGAGCGAATGTAACGTATATTTTTGAAATTCACTTGAGAAGCAATTTCTGTTTCTTAGCGACTTTTAACAACACTTGTTCCTATGAACCAGTGGTGTCATGCTGCATGTTCTAGAGGTTTGTTTGCTATAATGCACCTGATTTTAATATGCGAGTGATTAACAAGCTTCTGCACCTGCACTGTAATTTTTCTATACACAGAGTAATAGAGCTTGTTTTTCCCTTCTTGCTGACAGTTTCAGCTACTGCGGTTCCTTCATCAGAGCGTCGCCGATGCTGTCCCAGTCCCGACCAGCGGTGGGAATCAAAAACCAGCTCTTGTTGAGAAACGGTTCCCACTGTCTCAGTTCCTAGGAATCGTTTGCCATTTATGCAAACAATTCCCTTATCAATTGTAGTTGGTGCGAATGACGTCACCACGCCTGTTGCGTAGTTTAACTCATCCACTGCTATTGACGACTAAAGTCATCATTAGCATTTTTTTTTTTTTTTTTTACTGTGTGGGCGTCGGAACCAGCACAGTCAGAACAAAAATTCCTGCCCTAAAGCCGATCTTCATCCGCGTACGTCACACGTCACGTGATCAGGAAGCAGAAAATCCACGTGTTAGGATATTGTTTTGGGCCGCTGCTGTAAAAAAAAAGTGAGGCGCGAACCAGAAAAGCTTCTGCCGATCACAATTCAACAACGGATTATGAAAGAACGGATAATGCTCGAAACGCGCAGATTCTTCCTGATGTAAGAGGTGAGTTTACTCTTTGTTTTGGTAGTTTTGGCGTTAACATCATCCTAGAGCGCAACATTCTGTGACTCTTAAAAGAACTGTAAAAACACTGAAAAATGCAGGCAGCGAAGGGCTTTACTGATCAGGAAACGGCTGGCAGTGAATGAGTTAAGCATTTACTCAGCAGGTAACAAGGCGCCTAAGCGGCACAAAGGCTCTAAAGTCTGGTTATACTTTACAAGTAAGGACGCCAACAGGGCAACTCGCAATACTTGCAAGTAGATATTTCATCAAAGGGAGGAAACACTACGAATATGCAAAAGTATTTGTGCACAAAATACGCGATCACTTAAAGTGAATGTCGTGTTTTTGAACATTTTGGTGTCGTGCATTGGCCGTGGGAGCGGGGGATGGGGGTTCATTTCATAGTCATGGCGCTAGAATGTAGAGCATATGTAGGAAAACACTGAGTGTTTTTCAATATCAAGGCGCCTGACCTCACAAGGCGGCATCTTGCGAGGTCAGGCGCCTTGCTTATGAGGCTACGGTCCTCCCTTGGTCAAAGAAAACGGTTAAATGGGGCCGACTTACATCACGTGAGGTAGGGCTGCTCGATTATGGCAAAAATAATAATCACGATTATGGTGACTGAAATTGAGATCACGATTATTTAGGATGATTTTTCAATTTATGTTGATTTTATTTGTTTTTATTCAGTCATAAAATTGCTCAGGGCACAATCAGGACAAAAATAAGAAACAAGATGATCACTAAAATATCTCCTGATTCCCAGTGTAAAAAGACCAATATACTTATAGCTCATAGTCTATGACCCAAGGGCTATAGACTTTGGTTTAACTCATTTAAGTCTAACAGTACAGACCAAAATACCAATATCTTGCAAATACTGACAGCAAGAATTATACAGTGGCATTTATAACAAATAAATACAAATAAATTGATGTTCACAAAATGTTGCATAACATTTATTGAGTCGTGTCAAGGTGCTGTAGGAGAGTGCACTAGCACCGTGTCCTCAGAGAGATTAGTTATTGTTTATCAGCGTGAGGAACTTATTTCTACCTTATTTATAAACTATTTATTTACAAGTACATCAGTTAATGTAATAATTGTCCCAACCACAGCTGCACCCCCCACCCCCCAACCCGGTCTCAGCAATCCGGGGCAAGCTGCACGTGTGTTTAGCGCGCCGCACACGCACATTTAGCCGTTTTTAGAGGCTCAGGAGTCCGCAGGTGCGGTGTGTGTGTCACTCACTCTGGTTAGTCCAACAAGGAGCCGGCTCAAAGAGCTGTCTTTAGCGACCGACACATCACTACATCATTCCCTTTCCTAATGTCCTGAAGAACGGTCCGGAGCGCAGGCGGAGTGTTTAGCTAACCTGCAGGAAATGTCGACGACAGTTATCCAGAAAGTAGCTAAGGGTTACCAGAAATGTTTCTGAGGTGTTTGCTAGGTACTTTTAAGTTAAAAAGTCAAGAAGGGGGTCTGAAAAGCTGCTAGAAATAGCGTCAAAGTCACTAAGTTGGCAACGCTGTGAGGAGGAGCGCTTCATTTGCAACTCAGGGCAGCGCAAGCGGGAGGAGCAAATAATCGGCTTGTTTTGTTTTTTATAATCGTTCAAAACTCAGATCGTAATCGTGATTAAAATTCGATTAATTGAGCAGCCCTAACGTGAGGTAAAGTTATATTTTTTACGTATAAGTTTTAATATAAATGTGTAATGAGCTCTTTACTTTTAAAATTGTGTATGTACTGGTGCATACACAATATGTATGCAAGTTACTACCTGCTAGCCATCAAAGCTGCAACTGCTAGCATCTAACCAACCAAAGCTAACTGCTTTGGATATAAAAAAAATTTTTTTAGATGTCAGCCCAATGGCTAATTCCAGTTACATTTAAACTGGATATTTGCCCTCGAAGTAGCTGCCGGCTCCTGACCTGCCATCCGTTTGAAAATACCGTACTGCATTCTGGGCAGGCTACAAGACACCTCCCATGTATCCTTGCTCAGCTAGCTAAACAGTTAACAAATAGAGAACAGATGCCTCTGTAGAACATGAACAATGGAACACGCCTTGGCGGGTCCTGATGACATATCTCCTAGGAAACAATGGCAGGACCAAGACATCAAGGCAAGGTTCCTTAACATTGAGAAACACCCACTGACTGCCTACCACGTTAGCATCATTTGCCTTACATGCACATCTCCACACTAGCAGACTCCAGCAACTAAAGTCGAACTTGTGGTGAGAAAAGCTACAGCAACAACACACCGTACAAGAAGATGACTCTGCCTTCACAAGGAGCATGAGGGAGAACACCTTCCAACTGATACCAGGTAAAATTGATTATCATTAATTAACAGACAGTAATAATGCAGGAGACTGTGTGTGATTAATTTTTTTAACTATTTGGGAATTGATAAGGAATGGGATTGACTGAGAGAATCGACAATGGCATAGATATTGATGAAAACGTATCCATTCCCACCCCTAGTCCTGACGCTCTGACGAAGACAACAGCAGTAGCTGAAACTGAAGGTAGAATCAAGCTCTATGTTTATAGAAAAGAACAGAACAATTTTTATCAGAAAATCGACACAGAACGAATGTAGCAAAGGTGTTCAAAGGTAACTCAACCACTGGCATACTGGAGCAGGGGAACAACTGGATGGTGGCCCACGAGGATCAGAACTGGACACCACTGTTAAACACTAAGCTAAATTTAAAGCAAGAGATATGTGAATAATTATTGGGACTTTCATTTAGATAAGTGGTTTTCTCCACACTGGTAGCAACACTAACTTGACCACTAGGTGGTGATAATGGGCCAAAAGGTTTTCTAATCAAAACAATAGTTTTTATAACGGCCATAAAAAAAACAACAGCTGTGGATTACCACAGTCACAGTCGAGTTTTACCTTCACTATCAGAATCCACTGAACACTTAGGGAAATATTGTCCGATTGTCATCATGTAGCAGATTGAAGGGGAAGCTCAAAAACTTACCATAATGGTGGATTTGGCATCAAACGCCACGCGTTTGATCCTCTGAATGAAGCCATCGCCTCCATACGCCTGCAGGAAGACACAATCCAATAAAGATTATAGCGTGACGGTATTATGTCCTCTAAAGAAAGTTCATCCTCTTTGAATTTGTGTTTTTTTTTTTTTTTTTTTTTGTCAGATTGAGAAATGCAGTCATGGGGAGTAAAAAGAGCAAAATTTTCAGTGAAGTTTCAGAATATATTAAAACAAAATTGTCTGGTTGTTAACAGGTTTGAATTCCACCTCAGATGGAAATGGAAAGCACTGTGACTGGTGCATTACATAATATTTTACTAATTCAAATGGTGTTATATTTTAGAATCAGATTGTTTTCATTGTGTTCTGCACTTCTTTGTTTTCATAAGGACATTTCATTTCTTATTCAAAAAGTTGTAAAAGTATCAAGCACCAAGCTTTGAAACTGTAGTGAGAACCTTTCTGAGATGAGAGATAACTCAAATATCTTTCATTCCTAGTGAGATCTGTAAGAAATCCTGATGATGAAGAATAATACTCAAGCAGAAATTGTAACACTGTTCAGATTTTGTACTTCTTATTTTGAACAAATAAAGCTCCTTGAATGAGAAGCAAAACCTCCAGAGATAAATCAAAAACACATAAGGGTGTAAGAAAATACCAATATTGCAATGTTTTGTGTTAAGATACAGAATCAATATTTAAAGTGAGACTGGTCAGTTTTGCTTTTAGCACCCCCTAGTGTTCTGTTACTGAAACCAAAAGTGAAACTTATCTCGACTCATCTGGTTAAATTAAATCTCCTCGCTGTGTGTTTGTCTTTTTAACACCTTAATTTAACGGCTGAAATGTCTCCCGGCCTTCAACAGTGTCTACAAGAGCGGTTCATCGATAAATCAAACAAATGAGCTGTGTTCATGATCTCAAATGTGCTGGAAGCAGACTACAGCGCCAGGTATGTCAGCTCCATTTTACTAAGTCCAACAGGGACCGAACCGGCACTCTGAAATTGCAAGTGTGATATTCTGGCCAGAGGGTGGTAGGGCTCTGAGTGACTTGGGAAGGGTCATTTTAGCACACACTGGCTAAAGAAAATAATTTTTTTTTAATTTGCATAGTTGCATCGTATGCCTTTAAAAGCAGTGTATTGACTTTTTATTGCGTATTTACACGCAAACATTTACTGTATTTCTTTTAGGTGGTGAAATTCCTAATCTGGTGATCGCTAGGTGGCAACAGTATTTACCGCCTTCATTCTGACCAGATCTTGCGATAACTGGATGTGTCTTGGAAGCGTCTGGGCTGAGTTTCCCAATAAATCCAGTCTCAAAAATAGCAAATATCATCTTCCTTTAGAAAGAAAATAAGAAAACGATCTTTTATATAACACGTCTCAAGATACAAATCATGAGGCGCTTCACAAAAACAAAAACAAATTAAAATATAAATAATGATTTAAATAATTTTTGCAAAATATGTTTCAAATGAAAAAAAAAACTAAACATTTTTGTTAAAAAATGTAAGAAAATGGAGAGAGAAAAAGAATAGGAAAGAGGGGAATTAGTGGATCCTGGGAAAGGCGGAATAAGAGCAGAATAAGGAAAGGGTGATGACAAAGGTCCTGCAAAAGCCAGCTTGATCAGGTTTTCAGCTGCTTTTTAAATGAGACCACTGAGTCCACTGATTTCAGGCTCGGGGGAGAGTGGTCCAAAGTCTGGGGGCCACAGCAGCAAATGATCTGTCACCTTTGGTCTTTAGCCTGGTGCTGCACAACCAGTAGGCTTTCGTCACTCATTCACTGCAATTGACGACTAAAGTCGTCATTCTAAATCAAACTGCTCACTCTCATTGATGACTAAAGTCATCAATTGCTTTAGAGTTGATTTCCATCCAAGTGTGTCACACGTCATGTGATTAGGAAGCGGACAATCCATGTATTAGGAGATAGTTTTGGGAATCCGCTATGCTTAAAGCAAGGTGCTAACCGGAACATGCTTCTGCAGCTCACACTTGGACAACGGATTGATTGAAGAATAGAAAAACTAGAAACACGTTGATTATTACTGATGTAAGAAGTGAATCTACTCTGTCTTTTGGTAGTTTTAATGTTTACAAGATCATAGAGAACAATTTTCTGTAACTCTTCAAAAAAAAAAAACAGTAAAAATGCTCAAAAATGCTGGCAGTCAAGGACTTTCAGATCAGACAAGGACTGGCAGACGATGTACTTCACATCGTCTATCGTATTGCCAGATTCTTACTGATACACACCCCTACTGAATAAATAATTTTGTTACGTAGTCATGAAATCCCTGATTAACTAAACAGGAGCACGTTTTCACTGTAATACATGGGATAAAATGAGCGACTCTATCCAGCTGCTCTGCTCCATCTGAGCTCATTAGTTAGCTAAAACACCTGGGCGGTCAGACCTGATGTTAATTCATCACGATGTCCAGGTAATTAGCTCTGTGGACAAGCTGAAGGTGGGGAAGAGATCGTTTCAGCTGCACGCTGATCTCAAACTGTGAAACGGTTAAGAGAGTACTTTAAAAAGCTTTTACAACCACTTCCGTGGTTTTATACCCTTAATGGAAGAGAATTAAAATAAAGTTAGAAATCAAAGTAAGTTGTGTGATTTACTAAACTCTAGATCTTCTGAAATAATTGCCACCAACTGTCATTCCTGCCTTTGTTTGACTTTGAGCTTTGAATGATGCAAAGCCCCAAAAATAATACATTATATACACTCGAGAGTTAAAGAATCTGCTCTTTACATTCCATAAAAACACCCTTGAAATCCGCAGTGACTACAGCCAGCAACACACTTTCCAACCGCCATTATTCTGTGTCATTCTTCAGGAGACGTGAGCTGGTCCTCGGAGACCTCGTAGCGTGACGTCAAGAGCCTAGAAAGGTCTGGGAACTGGACGGTAGAAACTTGCAGGTTTCTGCTACTGTTTATTTGGTGGGAGTCGGTTTGTTTTATCAAGTAAAAAAATAACTCCAAATGTTTTTGGAAGAAGAAGAGAAAAAAAAGAAAAGAGGAGACCTTCTGGCTGTTTGTCTTATGGTTTCATGCATCTGGTGATTTCAGTGTGCAGCAGGAAAAAAGGGTTCTTTTCCAGGTTAATGCACAAACTAACAGGCCTGTGTAGTAATCTCAGTGTTTGATTTAGACGAGAATTCCTGTCTGAGCAGAACAAATAAACATGCAAGAGGAGATTGCAAAAATATTTCTTTTGGTGAGAATATTCTCTCAGGAGGACTTCTAATGCAAGACAACATGCTTGATTAATAAAGACTACTGGTGTGATTACAATGGTACAACACAGAGGAAAGATGGGGGGGCTGAAGGAGTTATTCTGAGCTGAATGCATAAATGGAAAGCAGGGAAGGGAGGAGAGGAGTGGAGGGTTCTGACCTGTGCAGAACCGTTCAGAACGCCGCTGATGAATTGGACCAGCTGCTCCATGGTCTCGATCGGCTCACTTGGCAGGAAGTACTGCTCATTGGACGTGTTGAGGATGATAACGGAGGGCACCGCCACCTCACTGAGGGAAAACAAACAACACAGCTTTTAATCTTAAACCTCAGAGGCGACATCATCAAAGTAAATCATTAGATGGGAATGAATTGGAACACAGATAATTTAATAGTGAGAATTATTCCTCCAGTACAACAGCAATGACGTTTGGCTTCTTTAAAGGTCTTGTTCACTAAGAAACTGTATAATATTTGTTCTTTTGTTAATACGATCAGGGTATGCAGGCTGAATGTGAAAGTGTTCTTCAACCCCCATCACCCTCGCCATAGATAACAGGCTGGAAAACGGTCGGCTCAAAAAGTCTCTTCTACATCACCAGAAAAATTATCATCCATGGCCTCGTCCACCGTGGACAGCAACCGCCCACGGTAAGGCTGTATTGATTTTGTGGCCAGGAGAGAGCAGAGCATGTCTCAGCTAGTAGAAGCTAAGCGTTAGCCACTCTGCAACATGGTGTTCATGCCTGTGTTATTGGTGGAGACAACACAACAGCATTTTATTTTTATCCTCAAGAAAATAGGTTTTCTTTCAGTTTTGGGAGTTTTGTTAATGATGGCAGAAGAAGAGTTGTAGTTCTGTCAGCCAATCGGAAGCGAGAAGTTTGGATATCATGAATGAGTTAGACACGTTATCTTGTCGTTTTCCACCTTCCGACAAACTTTAACCCCTTGAATATCAGTTTTTCCACTAAAAATGACTCACAAGTTATTAGTTTTTACTAGTGTGTGGATGCATGCATGGTTGAATGACTGTTGTGTTGTAAAGTGCCTTGGGGGACTCTAGAAGGTGCTAGATAAATAAAAGCCTTTTTTTGTTTTCAGAAATGAAAAAGTTATTGAAAAACCAGTTAATGACACCCTTAAGCTAGTCTCCCACTGGGCTGAAACTGTTGCAAATATGAAAACTTTCTACTGGAATCAGACCAAATTTGAGCAACATTGGTTTCAATGTTGCAATTAATTCCCAGTGTGTTTTAATTATGTCTTGATTTGTTCTCACTTACTGCTCCTATAATTAACATTTTGTTGTGTTTAGCATGTCACATTCGCCCCAGTTGACGTCAGCAGCTCCCCATCCCCACTGTAAACAGTGTGAGCGAGTTGATGCCTTCCTCACCTGAGACGCCGGACAGTTTGCCAGAACCTCTTTGGAGCAGATCGATAGTCTTTCTCCATGGCCTCACCAAACTCCTCCCACGCCCGAGATTTTGCCTCGGCAACTGCCACTGCTGCACCCCGCTTGGCAATCCGGTACCTGTCTGCTGCCTCCGGAGACCCACAGACCAGCCACGCCCTGTAGGCCTCCTTCTTCAGTCTGACGGCTCCCCGAACCTCTGGTGTCCACCAGCGGGTACGGGGGTTGCCACCACGACTGGCAACGGCCACCTTGCAACCACAGCTAGCAACAGCCGCCTCAACAATCGCAGAGTAGAACAAGGCCCACTCGGAGTCAATGTCCCCCACTGCTCTCGGGACGCGGTCAAAGCTCTGCCGGAGGTGGGAGTTGAAGACCGTCTTGACAGGCTCTTCTGCCAGGCGTTCCCAGCAGACCCTAACTATGCGTTTAGGTCTGCCAGGTCTACGCGGCATCTTCCCCTGCCATCTGATCCAACTCACCACCAGGTGGTGATCAGTTGACAGCTCCGCTCCTCTCTTCACTCGGGTGTCCAAAACATACGGCCGCAGGTCAGATGATACGACTACAAAGTCTATCATCGACCTGCGACCTAGGCTGCCCTGGTACCAAGTGTACCGATTGGCATCCTTATGTTCGATGGTGTTCGTTATGGCTAAACTGCGGCTTGCACAGAAGTCCAATAACGAAACACCACTCGAGTTCAGATCAGGCGGGCCGTTCCTCCGAATCACACCCCTCCAGGTCAAGCTGTCATTGCCCACGTGAGCATTGAAGTCCCCCAGCAGGACAATGGAGTCCCCTGATGGAGCACTATCTAGCACTCGTCCCAGGGACTCCAAAAAGGGTGGGTACTCTGAACTGATATTTTGCCCATAAGCACAAACAACAGTCAGGACCCGTTCCCCGACCAGAAGGCGCAGGGAAGCTACCCTCTCGTTCCCCGGGGTAAACCCCAACACACAGGCAGAGAGTCTTGGGGCTAACAAAAAGCCAATCCCAGCCCTCCGCCTCTCACCCGGAGCAACTTCAGCAAAGGAGAGTTTCCAACCCCTCTCAAGGACTTGGGTTCCAGAGCCAATACTATGTGTCGAGGTGAGTCCGACTATATCTAGCAGGTACCGCTCAACCTCTGCCACAAGCTCCTGCTCTTTCCCCGCCAGCGAGGTGACGTTCCATGTACCAAAAACCAGTTTTCTTGTCCGGGGATCGGACCGCCAAGGCTCCCGCCTTGGTCTGCCACCCGATTCACATTGCACCGGACCCTTCATGTTCCTCCTGCGGGTGGTGGGTCCACAGTTGGATGAGCCCATGTATCCGGTTCGGGCTGGGCCCGGCCGGGCCCGATGGGCGAAAGCCCGGCCACCAGGCGCTCGCTCACAGGCCCCAACCCCAGGCCTGGCTCCAGGGTGGGACCCCGGTAACCCTCCGGGCCGGGTACTCCGACTCCTTGAATTTACTTCCATGAAAGATCCTGTGACGGTGGAAGGAATACTTTGAAGAGCTCCTCAATCCCACCTATGCGCATTCTGAGGAGGAACCAGAGCCGGGAGACCTGGGGATGGACTGTCCAATCTCAGGGGCAGAAGTTGCTGAGGTAGTCAAACAACTAAGCAGCGGCGGAGCCCCGGGGGCAGATGAGGTTCGTCCTGGGTATCTCAAGGCTATGGATGTTGTAGGGCTGTCATAGTTGACACGTCTCTGCAACAATGTGTGGTCATCAGGGGCAGTTCCTGTGGAGTGGCAGACCGGGGTGGTGGTCCCCATCTTTAAGAAGGGTGACCTGAGGGTGTGTTCCAACTATAGGGGGATCACACTCCTCAGCCTCCCTGGAAAGGTCTACTCCAAGGTACTGGAGAGGAGTAGGGCTGCAACAACGAATCGATAAATTCGATGAAAATCGATTACTAAAAGCGTTGGCAACGAATTGCGTCATCGATTCGTTGTGTCGCACAACTCTTGCAAAAGCGTACCCCCCACCTCCCCCCCCCTTCCCGCCCGCCGTTGCGCGCAGACCAGAGCAAGTCAGGTCAGCGCGAGGGAGAGCCGCAGATCAGCGCGAGGGAGAGCCGGCAGATCAGCGCGAGGGAGAGCCGGTACCGGCAGATCAGCGCGAGGGAGAGCCGGTACCGGCAGATCAGCGCGAGGGAGAGCCGGTACCGGCAGATCAGCGCGAGGGAGAGCCTGCAGACTTGCGCTGCTGCGAACCGGTTCCGCAATGTTGCGCAGCGATCCAGGCAGCTGCTTCCAGCGCACGGTCCATTCTCAAAGTGGCGCAACCAAATAACTATAATTAGCACACGATCGTTCTTGTCTGCACATGTTCTCGATTTTCTGTCTTATTTGTGCCTGAAGCGCGCTACTGCGGAGCTCATCACCTGTGCTGCGGTGATGTCACCTCACGCAGCATCGAAAACGCGCTCTGCGCTTTGCGGTCAGGAGATCCCTTTGATCTGCTCAAAAGTAACTGATGAGGTGAAAAGGTAAGAATCCAGGCAACAGATTTTCTGGAGAATTATGAGGAGATGCAGGAAGATGAGAGACAGACAGGACAGGAAAATAGTTAAATAAAAACAAGAAAACAAAACAAAGTGTTGAAAAGTAAAAAGTAGGCAGATTTATCTCCACTACACGTTTTTACCTGTATAAAACAATAAGTTATACACATGTCATATTTATACATCTGATACAATTCAGGTCACCTTCAAAACTCAGTCACACACCCAGGGTCATTTCAAAACATTTTGGGGGCCAAGGCAAAATTCCCCCCCTCCAATAACTGGGCTCCCCAGAAGCCTCTGTGTAATTCATACCCTCTCCAGGAGTGTTAGTTATACGGTGTTTATAAAAGCCCCTCAGACATTACTGACATGTTCTAATATTATCAGATGAAAAACTAAATTATCAGACATGCTGTCTTATCTGCTTCTTTTCTAAACTTGCAAAAAGTAACAAAACCATTTGAAAGCCACTATTTGTGGATTCTCTGAAAGTTTCCATGGAGTGTGTGACAACTTATTTTTTCATTGATCCTATCGTCTAATCTCACAGCTGAAACAAGCATCCTTAATAATCTGTGCACAGGAAGCTTACCGATGCTGTAGTAAAACAAAAGGTATAATAATTTATTATTAATAAAACCTTGTTGCAGCACTAAAGCATAAAAATGAGATTTTGCATTAAATATGCAAAATATTTACATATGAATTGTTTTAGAGCCCTTTTATTGGCAGAATCTGATATTAATTTAGTTCTTACAAAAAATGGGTCCCAACATGGTTAGTGTGATGTTGCCATAGTGTGACGTCATAGGCACAGATCCCCTGTCCTCTTGTTTGGAAATGGAAATATGGTCACCCTACATTAAACAAACTGTCCACACGGGCTTTTGCGCTGCACAGAGACGCTTCGCTGCCTATGACTTTGAACGTTTGTTCAGAGTCAGTCTCATGCAGACTGACCAATGAAGAGAGGGCCTCAAGTTAAGACCCTCTCCTCATTGGTCAGTCCACACGAGGTGGGTCAAAGGTTACTCTGGGCGGGTTACGTGTTGTCAGGCATTCAAGTATTGAGTATATTTACTGCATATTACAGTAAAATATTCTGTATGTGACCACATTATGGTGATCCTTGGGTCGTGATGATGGAGCCCTTGAATATTATTGCCCAGGGTACAACCAAGTGTTAATCTGGCCCTGGTTCCGCCGTCACATTCCCGCAGAAACTGGTTGATCACACCGGGGCCAGACTACTAGCATGTGGTTTTACAACCACAATGTCCTCAGAAGCAAAAATGCTTTTAAAAGGGAGGGAGGAGTCCTAACTGTTGCTGCAGGCGTGTTGTGTGAGAGTGCAGTTATATACTGGTTAATATGTTTTTGGGTTCAGTTGTTTTCATGTGGCCTAATGTGAGTCTATTTGGGATCATTGGAATGATCAGCAGCATTTCTTGATGCGACTTTATGGCAGTTGCCCAGGGCATCATCGCAAGGAGGATGGCATTCATTTACTTTTGTTTTATTTAGTATTTTTTCAGTCATTTTTGGAAATAGTGATCAATTTTGATTAATTCACAGCCTATGTTTAATTACATTTAAAATAAATGTCAACAGATGAGATCAAACAAAACAGATGAGAATTGCCCTTAAGCTGTTTAACTTGGACCAAGCATTTTAGGTCACAGATAGATGTAGCTTAGGGTCTCTGTCTATACACCTTATAAGACAATTTAGGTGATGGCATGTTGTTTTTCTGCTATTGAACTGTTTTCTAATAATGTTGTGTTAAATAAAGTGAAGGAAGGAGAGAAATAACGTTTCCCTAGCAGTTTTTAAAAATGTCCCCATGTAATCCGATTAATCGATTAATCGTGTTGAGACCCCATCCGATTAATCGATTATCCAAATAATCGTTTGTTGCAGCCCTAGAGAGTAGGGTCCGATCGATAGTTGAATCTCAGATTGAGGAGGAGCAATGTGGTTTTCGTCCTGGCCGTGGAACTGTGGACCAGCTCTATACCCTTGCAAGGGTGATGGAGGGGGCATGGGAGTTTGCCCAACCAATCCACATGTGTTTTGTGGATTTGGAGAAGGCTTATGACCGTGTCCCCAGGGGCACCCTGTGGTGGACGCTCCAGGAGTATGGGGTGGGTGGCTTTCTGTTAAGGGCCATTCAGTCCCTTTACCAGAGGAGCGCGAGTTTGGTCCGCATAGCCGGTAGTAAGTCGGACCTGTTCCCGGTGAGGGTTGGACTCCACCAGGGCTGCCCTTTGTCACCAGTTCTGTTCATTACCTTTATGGACAGAATTTCTAGGCGCAGCCGTGGTGTGGAGTGTGTTGAGTTTGGTGGCAGGAGAATCTCTTCTCTGCTTTTTGCGGATGATGTGGTCCTCCTAGCTTCATCCAGCTCTGACCTTCAGCTCTTGCTGGTTAGGTTCGCGGCCGAGTGTGAAGCGGCTGGGATGAGGATCAGCACCTCCAAATCTGAGACCATGATTCTCGACAGGAAAAGGGTGGCTTGCCAACTACGGGTCGGGGGAGAGGTTCTACCTCAAGTGGAGGAGTTTAAGTATCTCGGGGTCTTGTTCACGAGTGAGGGTAGGAGGGATCGGGAGATCGACAGGCGGATTGGTTCAGCATCTGCAGTGATGCGGACGCTGAGCCGATTTGTCATGGTGAAGAGGGAGCTGAGCCAGAAAGCCAGGCTCTCGATTTACCAGTCGATCTACATCCCAATCCTCACCTATGGTCATGAGCTTTGGGTAATGACCGAAAGAACGAGATTGCGGCTGAAATGAGTTTCCTCCGTAGGGTGGCCGGGCTCAGCCTTAGAGATAGGGTGAGGAGCTCGGACATTCGGGAGGGACTCGGAGTAGAACCGCTACTCCTCCGGATCGAAAGGAGCCAGTTGAGGTGGTTTGGGCATCTGGTCAGGATGCCTCCTGGATCCCTACCTCGGGAGGTGTTTCGGGCATGTCCTGCCGGCAGGAGGCCTCCGGGTTGACCCAGGACACGTTGGAGAGGTTACATCTCCAGTCTGGTCCGGGAACGTCTTGGGGTCCTGCCGGAGGAGCTGGTGAAGAAGGCTGGGGAGAGGACGGTCTGGAGCTCCCTAGTTAGGATGCTGCCCCTGCAACCCGTACCTGGATAAGCGGAGGAAGACGACGACGACGATGTCACATTCGCTTTAGTCTTCAGTTAGTCACCACTTCATTTTATCTATGTCTCATATACCAGGAAATCCCTGGCATCAGCCCATAAAACACCTGCCTTGGTTGACCTTTTGCCTTCATGGGTCTGTGCCCATTACATTTTACCTTTACCAACTATCCCCATATTATTTTACAGACTAAACACTAGCGGCGAGTCTGGGGGAAAGCCACTCTGCCACCACACTGACACACACACACACACAGGAGCCCTGTGGTCCACTCATCTTCATTTCAGCAGAGGACTCAAACAGTAACCTTCACTTTACACTCCTGAGCTCGCTAAGCTCCACAAATCGGCAAAGGAATTATAAATCTCAGCCAGATAAGGAATAAGGTCATAAAACAACTAATCCCCCCTCCACATCTCCAACACCAAAAGCTTAGCAAAGATAAGGTATCCTGGTGCTTAGATACACATGAACACACACACACACACACACACACACACACACACACACACATAAAGAGTCCATCACTGCTCACATCCCCACAATGATTCTCCACCTGACAACAAATTGCACACATGCGCAAACATATCCATCAGTGTCCCAACCCACCACCCAGCTGAGATCAAGAGTGCAAACACACACGCCCGTGTGGTAGAGTCATCAACGCCTCACTACTCTGTCCAGCTGAGATCTGCAATCACCTAAACACACACACACACACACACATAATGAATGCTAATTTTTCTCTAACATCAAGCCCACTCCAACAGATGGCACCCATTTAAAGTAAATATGGATTAGCTTTTATGCCTCTAAGTGAGACTACTGGGAGGTTGGCACCATGATGAAGGGACAAACTTCAAGGCATTAAAGTCACTTTATTTCCACCAAAGGGGAAAAAAACAGCTGCCATATTAGAGCTCAACAGATACGGGTTTTTATGGCACATGTTGATCTTTAGAAGTCAGAGGAAACGATGGCTGATATGCAGAACTGCTTTATAACTTTCTGATCATTTCTCTGGGCTGATGCAGATGTTTTAACACTTTGGACATTATGGCAAATGTGGTCAAAACTTATAAATGTTATGTACAAGCTCTCTTAATCTCGCAATCTTGATTTTGTGTAATCTCGCAATTTTACCCAATGTCTCAGTTTCGCCGGGCAGCTCTGTAAAGAACGCTTTCCAGACCTGAACTTTGGTAAGTACTCAGAAATGCCCGGGTAGAGTTGCTGGGCGGGACTTGTGGTTACCTCTTGCTGATTGGTTGTGACTCAGTAGGAAATAATATCAGCAGACCTTGTCAAACAACTGGCATTTGTAAAAATGGAAGAGCTGCTGGTGACGTGGCAAAAATGAAAAACAAAATAAGCAACATTGTTGCTACTTTAAAATAGTCATTTCTAAACTCCCTAAGCAGAAAAAATCCCTCCACAACGCCGTGGTTCACGGCGCTTTGTGGTCTCTGACAGCGATGTAGAAATCAGCGCTTCTTCTGAGGGATGTCCCATGTCAAGCTACCCTAAGTTTATTATTTTATCTCCCATCACCTAAACGTGGCTCATGTGCTTGCTTCAACTATTTTTTAAATTATTTCCCGCTCACTGGTATCAAGTGCTTTACCGAAGGTGGAGGCTGAATGCGCCTCAACAGAAAGTGCCTTGAAGATGATTTTTGGTAAAAAAAAAAAAACTGGCGCTTTACAACAAACTGAAACGAAAAATAAGTAATAAATTGGTGTTTCTTTTTAACTTTTAGGGGAGAAGACCTTCTCAATCTAAGCAATGCCTGAAGCAAACGCTGCAAAAGTACACTTTATTTCAAGTAAAACTATACATTTCCCATTGAAAAGCACGTTTCAGAGGAGCCTTTTGTTTCATTCACTCTCCCTCATAAGAAGCCTTCCTCACACAAACTTCTAAGTTGGCTCTCATATCTTTAGGTTTATCACAGCCTATTTAAGGGGTTAGCGATAATCCTGCGGTTAAACAAAGGCTGAGATGACCTCCAGATTCAGAGTGGTGCTCGACTCATCCGTGTGTGTTCACTACTGCGTTTATGAGGCAGCGATGAAAGCAGGGGGAAGCATTTAGCTCGACGACGAGCTACCAGATAGACCACTGCCACACAGTAATCGAGGCAATGACAGCGAGAGGGATGAAAAGCCATCAGATTTATTTCCTCGGCCCTCCTATGGGAACGGATTAGCGGACATTGACAGGCCAGGATTTCATTCCTCAAAGGAGGGCAATTAATCCTGTGCCTGGGCAGCCAAAGTCAGGCCCATAAAAACCCAGCTAAGTACATATTGTATATGCTGATGCAAAATTAGGCCTTCTAATCACCTCTTATCCTTAAATACACTCACTGTCTAATTCCAACTCAGTTCCGGAACTTTTGCTGGTTGAACGTGGTGGTATTTTAACTTCTACTATTATGCAGACATGATTACACGGGACCTGGGAGAGCACGTCTGCTGTAATCTCCCTCTGTTACAAACAATAAACATGCTCAAATTAAAGTGACGTCCTGCAAGCACACACACAACACAAAACGCGTAATGAGATTTAAAAAAAAACAGGACAAGTGCTGAAAGCCCTGCTGTGGTGTAAAACTATAGTGGTGGGGTTACTGTCTAATTAAAAGCATGACATGTCAGATGGAGGGAGCATGACACTCAGTCTGAGCTCAGGCCGGACACCGAGCAGGGTCCGGCTGCATCGTTAGAGCCGCTTGGTGGCAACTTGTTAAAACGCCGGACTGATATAGATTGAAGCCACACTGGGACTCCTCTCAGATGAAGATTTGCAAGGGCATCCATGTAGTTTATTTATTTTTTTATGTCAGAAGGTTAAAATTGCAGAGAGTGCTGAGAGAAGAAATGACAGTCTGTCTGTGTAATTGACTTCTCCACACGAGAGGATCCTTAATAGCAAATTCTGGGGTTACAAGCCGGCGCAGACCAGGATAAGTGGCTGACAGAAGGTAACATGAAGCTGAGAAAGAGTGGGATGACACGAGAGGAGAGAAGGAGGCTGAATATGAGACACTCACCCCATAATGAGGCTGTTAATGTAGTCGTTCCCATCCATGTGGCCAAACTGGAAGTCCCTGGAGATGAGAGAAGAAATCAGCACGGTCACTCGATTACGAGCAGGAGTTGTTCTGAATAATATTAAAAACACTTTTGTTGAGCATGATGGAGTTATGAAACATCAAGAGTTTTAAGAAGACTGCAGATGCTGTTCTCTTTCTTAACATTCGTTTCGATGTCTCACTATGGGATACGCCCCTCCGCGGATTCCTCAGAAGCACTTATCTCAATACGCCAATCCTGATTGGCCAGTGACCGTGACGTACGCGTCCCCCTGCTACTATAAGTAGCAAGCGTCCCCACGTACGCACTATTCAATCACCTCTTCTCGCTTCGGTGGTCGCTTATCTCTGAGGTAAGTTAGCTCAACTGTTCACAGACGGAGCCTTCTAATATTCTCTCCGTCGCCGAACGTTAACTTACCGTCCTTCTGTCCTGACCTTCACCATAGGTTCGGGGCATAACGAGCAGCTTCACACTCCAGTGCACCTGTTCGCTCTCTGCTAACACACCAGTTAGCCAACATGGAAGCCGCTCCTCCCACCAGAGGAGTCGATGGCTCAGGAGCTCGCCTCTGTACCTGTGGGAACAAAATCTCAAGCAAAGACCCGCACAAGGTCTGCTCGAGCTGCCTCGGGCTGGAACACGCCCAGCTGGCATTGGAAGTCCCCGGGTCATGTGAGAACTGTGCCTGCTTCACCCTGAAGAGCCTTCGCCGGCGGCTAGCGCGCCAAGCTAGCCTGTCGGGGAAGGACCCTTGCCTGCCGGCCCCTGGGCCACCGCCTGGGGACGCCAGCGAACATGCCCTCCCGGAGCCGGAACCGTGTGCCGAACTCAGCTGGGGCTCACAGCTCGAACTGGCCGGTCCGAGCCACCCCGTCGAGGACGTGTTGGAGTTGGACTACGGAGACGACGAGGACACCTCGGAACTCCTCATTTCAGAGGAGGACGAGGATGACGACGTCTTTCTCCCCGTCGCTCAGGCCTCCATGCCTAGCTTTCCGTCCTCTCCCAGGGATGGAGCGGCTTCTCCGGCCGCTCACCTGGACATGCAGTCAGTCTGCCGACGCGCTGCGACCAGGCTCAACATCCCTTGGCCCACCGTGGTCACTGAGGCTGTCAGGTCCCGCTACGAGGGTAAGAAGCTGCCTCAGGCCACAAGGGCGGCAAAGCCCCTCCTTCCCGCCTTCCCGGAGCTTCTCCAAGAAGTGAGGTCCTCCTGGGACAAACACCCTTTCAGCTCAAGGTCTCCGGTCCAAGGAGCCTCCTCGCTGGACTTCGAGGGGATGGAGAGGGCTGGCATGCTTCGCATGCCGCCGATGGAACCGCTGGTTGCAGCCCACCTGCACCCACGACTCTCGGCAACTTCCTCCAGGCCTCCCGCTCTCCCTGCAAAGGCGGACCGCTTCCAGTCGGCGCTGAACGAGAGGGCGTACAAGGCTGCCGCCATCTCGGTCCGAGCTTTGAATGTCTCCTCCATGCTCTCAGCGTACCAAGCCGAGCTCTGTGAGGACATGAATACGAAGCCGGACCCGGAGGTGTGGGAGGAAATCACCGTACTGACCGACATCTGCCTGCGGGTGCAGCGCTGCGCGGTCCAGGCTACGGCGAAAGCTATGGGCATGATGGTGCTTCAGGAACGTGCACGTTGGCTGAACCTCACCAACCTCTCTGATAGAGAGAAGGAGGACATTTTGGACATGCCAATCGTGCCTGAAGGCATTTTCGGCTCTGCCCTGGTATCGATGCAGCAACGGTGTGAGGCCAAAAAGAAAGAGGATGAAGCCCTTCATCTCTGCCTTCCCCGTAAGCCTTCACCGGCACTGCCGGCTCGGCCGAACCTTCCTCAGGCAATACCCCGAGCCCAGCCTCAGTTCCGGATCTCAAAGCGCCCGAAGCCTCAAGCTGTCCAACCAGCTCCCTCGGGCTCAGCGCCTCGACCAGTGTGGCCTCAGCGATCCGGCAACCAAGCTGCTCCGCCGCCGGGACAATCCACCCGACCCGGCGGTCAGCAGGTGAGGAAGAAGAAGAGGGCAGCCTGACGGAGTTCTTTCCCTCCCGACGCTGCAGCTGGCAGTTCCCCGTTCGCCAGCCCCTCCTGTTCAACGTTGCCATGGTGCTTTCTCCCCCCCTCACGGAACCCCTCCGGCAGAGTCCCCGAGCGGTCCAGGGTGGGGCCAGGACGTGCAGCCGGCTGTGCCGGCTCAGAACACACGTCACAAGCACTCACATTGTTGTTTTTCACAAACATGTCACGCTCAAGGAGCAGTAAAACGTTCGCTGCCGCATCCAGACAAAATGTCAAGGGCGCAGCAAAAATCAATAAAAATGTTACCCATGAGCGGTCCCAGGCGGGGTCGGCCCCTGGCGGACTTTCTAGCCAGCCACGGGTCGTCCCCGTACACCTGGGCCGTCAAAGCACAAAGCCCCCGCGCATGCGCAGTGGTTGCCACGAGCACTGCTGCCCCACAACCTCTGGGGGGAGCTGGTGCTCCGTGTGTCACGGCTGTGTCACCGCTCTCAACTCACATGGAGGAATGGACAGCGGTTTCTGCTTCACATTGGGTGATAAGAACAATTTCGAGGGGTTACAGGCTCCAATTCGCCTCAGTTCCTCCTCGATTCTCCGGCGTAGTGTTCTCCCACGCCCGGGGGTCGTCAGCTCACATCCTTCAGGGAGAAATCTCCTCCCTGCTGGAGAAGGGAGCGATATGCATTGTGCCTCCCGATCGGTCTCAGAGCGGTTTCTACTCCAGGTACTTCCTGGTCCCGAAACGGGGAGGGACCGGGATTCGCCCGATCCTGGATCTGAGGGCCCTGAACCGATGCCTCAGAAAGTACAGATTCAAAATGCTCACGCTCTCATCCCTTTTGCGTCTGATTCACCAGAACGACTGGTTCACCTCAATCGACCTGAGGGACGCATACTTTCATATTCCCGTGTACCCTCCACACAGGAAATTTCTGAGGTTTGCCTTTCAGGGAGTGTGTTACGAATACACCGTGCTCCCATTCGGCCTCTCGCTGAGCCCGAGGGTGTTTGTCAGGTGTACGGAGGCGGCGATCGCCCCTCTGAGAGGGAGGGGCATTCGACTGGCCACATATTTAGACGACTGGCTCCTGCTGGCACGATCCAGAGAGGAGGCAGCGTCAAACACGCTGGTTGTGATCCGTCACTTGTGTGGTCTGGGTTTCAGAATAAACTGGCAGAAAAGCGCTTTACTCCCCTCCCAGAAAATAACCTTTCTAGGTCTGAATCTGGACTCAGGGGCGTTCACGGCCCGTCTCTCGACACCGCGCGTGGACGCGCTCTCGCTCTGCCTGGCGCGCTTCCGCCTACACAGTTCGGTGCGGTTTGCGTTATGCCTCAGGCTGTTGGGTCTCATGGCGTCGGCTATTTCAGTGGTACCACTCGGCCGTCTACACATGAGAGATTTTCAACGCTGGGTGGCTTCTCTGGGTCTCTCTCCAGTGCGCCACAGAGCGCGCAGGGTGACGGTCTCTGCAGCGTGCGTCGCGGCGCTCCGCTGTTGGCGTCACCCCTCCCTCTTGGCACAAGGGGTGCCTTTGGGGTTGGTTCTCGTGAGGAAAGTGGTCACGACAGATGCGAGCCTGTCAGGTTGGGGGGGGCTCCTGGAGGGTCGCTCTGTCAGGGGTGTGTGGAGCAGAGAGCTCTGGGGGACACACATAAATTATCTGGAACTCCTCGCGGTCTTTCTGGCCCTGAGGCGCTTCCTGCCTTTTCTGTCCGGCCATCATGTCCTAGTGAGAACAGACAACACCACGACTGTGGCATATATAAACCGCCAGGGGGGGCTGCGCTCCATGCGGTTACACACACTGGCACGCAGACTGATCCTATGGTGCAGCAGGCATCTCCTCTCAATCAGAGCCACCCACGTCCCGGGTGTTCTGAATCGGGGGGCGGATCTGTTGTCCAGAGGGACACCCCTGTACGGGGATTGGAGACTGCATCCAGCAGTGGTGGAACAGATTTGGATCCGGTTCGGCACAGCCGTAGTGGATCTTTTTGCCTCCAAGGAGAATGCTCAGTGTCCTCTGTTCTTCTCCCTGCGCGACCGAGACGCTCCACTCGGCGTGGACGCGCTGGCGCACGACTGGCCACGGGGTCTGCTTTACGCTTTTCCCCCAGTGGCCCTGATACCATCCACCTTGCTGAGGGTACGAACCCAGCGCCACACTCTCATTCTGGTGGCCCCATTCTGGCCAGCCATGCATTGGGTGGCGGACATTTTCCAGCTCCTGGAGGGCCAACCTTGGAAACTGCCGCTTCGCAGGGACCTGGTGTCCCAAGCGGGAGGCTCGATCTTCCACCCTCATCCAGAACGGCTGGCCCTGTGGGCCTGGCCCCTGAGGGGTGCGGACTAGTGTCAGCAGAGCTGCCCCAGGCAGTCATTCGAACCATTCAGAATGCTAGGGCCCCCTCCACTAGGTCCCTATATGACTGTAAATGGAGGGTGTTTGAAGCCTGGTGTCAGGGCAGGGAGGTCTCACCCTTCCAATGCCCGGTGAACGTCATTCTGTCTTTCCTGCAAGACTTGTTGGATGGGAAGAAGGCTTTCTCCACCATTAAAGTGTACCTAGCAGCCATTTCCGCCCGACACTTGGGTTTTGGGAAGAAACTGGCAGGTCAACACCCCCTGGTGTGTAGCTTCATGAAGGGCGCGCGCAGGCTTCTCCCTGTGTCTCGACCCTTGGTGCCCTCATGGGATCTGTCCTTGGTGCTGTCGGCCCTCTCCGGGCCTCCATTTGAACCTATGGACGGCCTGGACCTTAAGATCCTGTCTCTTAAGGTGGTGCTACTCCTGGCTTTGGTATCTGCAAAGCGAGTTAGTGACTTACAGGCTCTCTCTGTGCACCCATCCTGCGCCCAGTTTGCACCCGGTGACATGAAGGTGTCCCTGAAGCCCAACCCTGCCTTTGTGCCTAAGGTGGTGGGCTCCTTTTCTCCTATTATCCTCACAGCTTTCTACCCGCCACCCTTCTCCTCTCCTGA